CTCCTTCCTGCCCCCCCTTGGCACTGCAGCCTGTCACCACAGAAGCGACAGTGAGGGGGAATCATGCAGAGAATATAGCTACATGCTGCTTCCAATTCTGTGCTTAGTCCCCCTGACCTCCAGCTTGGTCTTCCCTGCCCCAGGGCTGCCCTGCCCCAGGGACCCCCACTGGGGATAAGCAGGCCCCTACCACCACACAACAGGAAGATTTCCGCTGTTGGCATAGCCTCCCCCTGGCCAGACCTCCTTCCCCTCCCCATCAGAAATACCAACCGGGAGCATGGAAACAGGAACAGCCATGGCATCAGCTTGGGGTCTAACACTCTTTATAACACTCTGCTGCTTGGAGCCTGCATCACACACTCAGAGATAGTGGAGGCGGGGAGGTGTCATGCCCAGCTTTCTCCTGCCTGTGGATCCAACCTGAGCGCTGGGGACTCCAGCTGGGCCAGACCCCTGATCTGAGCACTCCCAGGAAGCAGAGGTGGGCCAAAGCCATGCAGCCCTGTTTCACTGCCCCCCCTCACCCACCCAGCTCAACCTGTCTTAGCATAGATGCCTCTAAACATGGGCCTCATCCCAGAGGGAAAGTCAATATGGTTTCCCTGCTGATCAGCCCATGTTTCTCTTTGCCTCCAGCTGGTTGGTCCAGGGCAGGTCTGGATCTCTACCCCATGGCTAAGCCAGGTCTACAAGCTTCTCATCTGCAGCATCTGAGCTCCATCTGTGGATGGGGCAGCCCCTGAGCACTGACTCCTAGTACTGAAAGCCTTAGGTGGAATCCATACCCCAGGGGTCCTGGCAGGACAGCCACTGGGAATGCTAGTCTGGACGGCAGGTAGGAAAGCTGGGACCATCCCAGCTATGTTGGCTGCTCCCCACTGCCTGAGGCAGCTCATCTGGTTTGTCCCAGATCTGATGAACACCCAGCAGACCTGAGAGCCAGGCCAGGGTCCTCAGCAAATGAGGCGAGTCAGAAAGGTCAGCTGTGACCTCTGGGCCAGTTCATGGACAAGTGCTAGTGATGCACATGCGTGCACACACACACACACACACACATGTACACGCATGTGCACACACGCACACACATACATGCATACATGTGCACGCGCACATGTGCAGACATGCACGCATATGCACACACGCATGCATGCACATGTGCACACATGCGCGCATGCATACACGCACACACATGATCCCAGGGCCCCTTCTCAACCTAGCTACCTGCAGCAGGATGGAGCCTTTCATTAGAAAGCAGCAGCAAGGCAGGAGAGGAGGTGAGGCCAGGGGAAGCACAGAAGAAAGGGTCAGACTGACTTCCGGACTTCCTGGAACTAGCTGCTCCTCACTTCTCACCTCTTCTCGGCTCTGAACCTCCTTCCAGCTCCAAAGAACCTCTGTCCATACGGGGACTCTGCTGGTACCCGTGTGGACTGCACCCACATGTATTCTGCCCCGACTCTGTAGGAGCCATAAATTCATCTGCCAGGTCTTGGTGAGATATCACCTCCCTTGTGCCTGGGTTGCTCAAGGGGCCCAGCAGAATCCTATCAGCCCCTTGCTAACACTCCTTGAAGGGCACCCCATGAATGGCCAGCTGTAGCCCTGCCAAGAATGCCACTGCCAAGTCTTTAAAATTCATGATAAAAAGCCGTCAAGCTGGCTGGAGTCTCTGGACACAGGGGGCCAAGGGTGCCCCCACAGTCCCGGGTCTGAGGCACTGGGGCAGCCACGGGGCCTCCCACCGCTGGCTGGGCCGCTGTCTCAGTCCAGGCCCCAGTGCCCCACACCGCGGTCAGCAAGATGCCATGTCACTGCCTCCTTCTGTCTCAGGAATGGGCTCCAGTGGGGTCCGGACCCGGCTGGGTTCTGGGGAGGCTGAGCCATTCCTGCCGATGCCACAGGACTGTCCGGCATTGTGGATCTGCCACAGGTTGTCCAATGCCTCTGCCTTGGCCTGTTTGAGCAAATCAGCTTGGCCCTGCAGCAGGGGAAAAGTCAATGGTCAGGTGGGGGTAAAGGGTGTTAGGGCCCATCAGCACAGCCCCGAGGCAGTCCCCTCCCCATCTCAGGGCTGGAGGCAGGCATGGAGGCTGGGTTTTGCTGTGGTCTCCTCACCTTTGGAGCAAAACTGATCCTGCAGCAGAGGCTGGAGCACAGAGAGCAAGGGTTCCCTTCTGTTAGCCAGGGCTCAGGCTGCAACAGGGGCTAGGGGAGGGCCAACTATCCCCCCCACTCACTGCATGTGAAGGCCACAGCATGATAGGACTGTGCCCCTCCCCTAGCCATTGCTTTGGGGCTGCCCAAATCCAAAAGAGCCTGGCCCTGGGGGTGCCTATCCTCATGCATCTTCTGTACCAGATAGCACCAGCACTGGCCAGAGCCTTCAGCAGCTGGAGGATGGCAGAGCCTAGGGTGGTGGTGGCACTGTCCCTTGTCACTGAGCAGTGTTGACTCCCTCACCCAATCCTGGGGAGGCTGGCTGGGCTGGTGCCTCTGGTGCCACCTGAAATCCCAATTTTTTTTTTAATTTATTTATTTTTTTTATTTTATTTTTTTTTTTGAGTGGCGGCCCCTGACGAATTTTTTTGTCTAAAGTTCCTGCAAGTCACCTGTCCGGTCACCAGCCGGATGCCGGTACCACCATTGGCCACCCGACCGGGGTGGCCCAAAGATCCGTTTGGACTTTCTTCAGCCATCAATAGTGCCACCTGAAATCCCAGAGTAGTACTGGAGCTCCATGCCTTCCTGCTCAGAACCATGCAGGTCACCTGGCAAGGTACAGTCCAGCAGCAAGCAGGATCTACACATGGGGCAGGGACCCAGCTGCCCCCTACACTGCCCCAGGTCATGGAAAAGAGAGGCAAAGTAGGGGGGAGCTTTTCATGTAGCTCCAAAGTTTATGTATTGCCAAAACAGCCCTGGGGCACCTTACCAAGGGGGCCCCACAAGTCAGATAGGCAGGGAGAGCAATGACACCAGGTGGGATTCAGAGACAGTAGCTGCCCTAGCTCAGCACTGGGAAGGGGAAAGACACCAGAGGCTTTGAGCTGGCACTGGGACTTGAAGACCCATCCACTCCATGGCTGTGAGCTGGGGTCAAACCCAGGACCTCCAGCATTCAGAGTACGGACAAGGGGCACTAGCTAAAGGAGTGACTCCATCAGCTGGCCACAGAGTAGGCTGTTATCCTGTGTGTGGGCAGCCTCCTTAGAGATGCATGATGCAGCTGAGGCACTGGTTGATGCTCAGCTCCCTGCTCCACCCCATCCCCCACCCAGCTGCAATGGTATTCACTCTGCAAATGGATTTACTCTCACAGCCTCCATTGGCCTCGACACTGACTCAAGGTTCCTCTGCCCCAGCCTGAGCATGCTCTAGGCACAGCCTGCAATGCCCACAAGATGGCAGCACTGCATTGCCGCATGGCTCCTAGGCCACCAGCAGCCAGGACCAGAGAGCTCCATGCTCCCATGTGCTCCAGACTCATGCATTGAGAAGCCCCAGGTCCCACACAACTGCTTTTACCCACACACCCCGGGGCATCCTCACTCTAGAAACCAGCATATAGCAGCCAGGCCTGGGAGAGATGGAGGGTGCAGGACACTGGGGTACACCCTACCCTTCCAAGAACAGCCCATGGGATCCTTGCTTGGACAGCTACTTGAGCAGGGAAGGATGGCAGCTCAGGATTGCACTCAAGTAGGGTGACTACCTTTTCAAAACGCAAAAGCAGCACGCCTGGCCTCCTTGCCTCGCTCTGTCCTCCCATGCTGGGTCCTGCCCACTGGGTTGCAGAGGTCCCAGGGGAAGGGCAGCAGGGTGGGGAGCCCTAAATCTACAGCAGGCAGCCTGCATCCACTCTTGCCCCAAGCAAAAATATGGGAGGGAGGCACATGCCCCACATGCCTCCATCCCTGGGAGTAGGGTGACCACCATCCCTAATTAGGCTGGACAATCCTGTAATGGGAGCATCGAGTCCTAGTCCCAAGCTGTATGACTCTGGATAACATTTGTCCCCCATTCACAATGTTGTGCGTGGATCCGGGCTTTCCATTCACCATGGAAAAACATGGGAAAATGGCAGGTTTCGCCTTGCAGGCTGGCAGCATTTCCCCATGCAAGAGACTGCTTGGGACTGTGGGGAATGGGACACAGTGCCATGTGCATGCCCGCACACATGCGCATGGCCAGGAATACACCCAGGCAGCATGGAGAGCAGTTTCCTACAGGTAAGTCTATGGGGGAGAGGGGGCATAGGAGGAGCAGGGGGTGCAGACTGAGGCCCCCACAGTGAGGGATGGAGTGGGGCAGGGGCTGGGGGTGCTGCCCAGCCAGGGCAGTGAATGGGGCCTAGGGCAAGGCCACTGGTGGCTCATCCAGGGTGCAGAGGGTGCAGCTCCCCACCACTGCATGCACTCCTGGGGGAAGGCCATGGCAGGGTATGTCCTCTAGATTTGAGTGAGGGGTGGGGCCAGATGTAGGCTGCCCACTGCGGGCTCAGGGCTTCTTGCCCTGCTGTCCTCCCACCACCCATGCCATGGCAGAAGGGGGTGGGGAGGGGGAGGAGAGGTGGGCATGTGTCCCACCATTCCATTTTGAAAAGGTGGTCATCCTATCCAGGTGTGCACATGGTGGCAGGGAGCTGCCCCCTTGATGCCCCCTGGATGAGCTGCCCATGGCTCTGTAGCTCTGTTCCGCTCCCCAGCTGGGCCCCGCAGCTGCACATTTTAGCCCCGAGCCCCATGCATAGCCTGGCCAGGCAGCACCCCCAGCCCCCAACCCTGCCCCACTCTCTCCCTCACCTTAGGGGCCTCAATATGCTCCACCACCCCCTCCTCCATGTTGCCTATTTCCCCTTCCTCCCATACACTTACCTGCAGGCAGCTGGAGGAGCTGCTCTCCACTGCTGCCTGGCTGTATTGCTGGCCATGTGCGTGTCTGCACACACACAAGCATGTAATGCCCCCTGCAACCTGCTACCCCCAGCCCCAAGCAGCAAGCAGAAAACCCAGATCCCTGCACGTGATACTGCTATGGTTTGATTGTGTGGAGGGGAATCTGGGACAAATACTGTCCTACAGTTATTCAGCCTGGGACCCAGGTTTGAATGTTACATTTCGAGACTGTCCAGCCTAGTTAGGGTTGGGTGGTCACCCTGCACTCAAGGACAGCATCCCGCTCTGCAGTCTGCCTTGAAAACCAGACTGCCCCTGCTACCCCCTGCAGACAGCTCATGCAAAGGCAGGCAGAGAGTAGGCCCAGGGGTACCTAGCACCATGCTAGAGAAGAGGCACTGCAACAGTGGGATGCTCATTGAAACCCAGAGTCTGGAAGCACATTAAGGGGCCACCCAGCTCCTGGCTTCTGGCCCAGCTCCAAGTCCTTGCTGCACAGAGGCAGTCAGCAGAAAAGCTCTTTTCCCCTAGGGAGGTGGCTTCCAGCCCTAGCCCCAGCGCAGACTGGGAGAGCAACATGCCTGGTCCAAGGGTGGGGGTAATGATGCTGGGGGGAGGCAGAGATAGCAGAGCCAGGGCCCTGTATCAGTTAAGGAGGGGTGGAGGAGGGGTCAGTGGCAGAGCCCTCCACCTCTGCTAAAGCACTGACTTAATTCCCTGCCCCTTCACTGCAGCTGGGAGGCTGCACTCACTGTCAGTGCACCACCCCCACAGCCCACACCACATCAGCACCACCAGCCTCAACTCAGCCAGGTCCCAGGGGAGTCTGGGCCTGTAGCAGGTGGCCTATAGGGCTGAGCACTGGGCTGGCTCTGCAGAGCTACAGACAGCTGTGACTACCCCGGAAGGGTGCCTATGGAGGCCTGCTACATGGTCTGATGTGCCACTCCCAGCACTAGCCCAGCAAGTGGGGAGTGGGGCCTAAAAGATAGAGCACTGGACTGAGAGCCAGGACTCCCAGGTTCTGGATCAGTCTCTGCTACTAACTCTCCTGGGAAAGGACTCCCCTTTGCCTCCTTTGGCTTGTTCCCCTGGTAGAACGACTTGGGGTGAAGGGGGAGGATCTCTGTTTGCCAGGTGCTGTGAAAAGGCACAGGACAGGCCCTGCAATCGCTCTTCACAGGCCCTGGCGTCACGGGCTGGTGCCTTGCGCTGCAGCAGCTGCGGGGAGAACAATTGTTTCACCATGCCCTAGCTTTGTCAGATGTCACAGCACCCCGGGGACAGGAAGCAGGGTCTGGTGCTTTGCCTTGACAAAGCACCTCACAGGCAGGCCTCAGCCCTCACTCTTGCCCTGCTCTGTAGCTAGGGAAACTTAGGCATGGGAGAGGAAGGAAGAGACCCTCACTGCAACAGAGCTGGAAGCAGCACTCCTGGCTCTCACTTGTGCTGGCCTTTGGGTTCCAGGCTCAGCCACCCCTGGGCAACTGGGCACCTCTCTGTGCCCTACGGCAGCCAGGGCCCGATGTTACCTTCAGCACAGTGATGTTCCACGCAAAACTCTCCAGTGCCTTCTGCAGCTTCCTGCCCTTTAGCCCCTCCTTGGCCTCCAGCCGGTGCAGCTCTTTGTGGAAATCCATCCCTGAGAAACAGAGCACAGGGGAGAGTGTCACACATATGCCCATCGAGCCAGGGCCATGGCATCATCACAGGTGGAGATCCAGAAGATGCTCCTGAGCAGGGCATGCGCCACCAGCACCAATAAGCTGGCAAGGAGAGAGCCCCAAGGGTTACAGCAAAGCCAGAGGCAAAGTGCCCAGGACTGGGTTTGTACTGTGACTGTCCTGCACTGTACTGTACATTGAGAAGGCCAGCAGGGCACCAGCCCTGGGACAGCACTCTTTTGGCCAAAGGGGAGGGGAAGGGGCAGAGGGGAACAGCTGGGATCATCACAGAGCTGCCCAAGCTGGCTGCACCCACAGAGTGCCAGAGAGCCACCCCCCCCCTGCCCCCGCACACACACACACACTCCCACTCAACAGCAGCAGTAGCTTCTGTTGCCCTGAGCTCCACATGTACCAGAGTCTGAGGCCAGGGCACAGACAAACTGTGCATCCTGCCCCTTCATGCTGTTCTGCCAGTTAAAAGGGCCCCATCTTTGCCCCCCTCCCCCCTCAAGCCAAAAGGGATGCTCTGCCATGGTGCTGCTAGCCAGGGGCACCCTGAGGTGGAGAAGTGGGGGAGGCAGGCCTGTGTCTGTGCTGCGTTGGGGGGAGGGGGGGCATGTCACATCTCCAGGTGGGAGGAGATGCCCTTCCAGAGCATGCCAAGGGACGTGAGGCTGTTTCCGGCTGGCTCGCCAGCAGCCTACAGCTGAGTCAGCAACTTTAAGCCACGTCCTCTTGCTCTTCATGCTGAGCAACAAGGGACTGATCTTTGGAGCAAGACAGGTGCCTTGTACCCCCATAGCCCATTCTCGAGCACAGCTACCAAATCCCACAGCTAGAGGAGGGTGAAAACCTGCCAGGGGAGAACTCCTTGCCAGCCTCCCCTGCAGGAACCAGTTGCTCCCAGCCTTCATTTTGCAGCAAATCCAGCCATGTGCCATGGCCACAAAGCAGCCTGTGGGGGGAGCTCTGCGGGCAGGGGGCAGCTGAGGGCCAGGGGCAGCAGGAGCAGGGTACAGTGTTTCAGGGCTAGGCCTGTGGGGCTTGGAGAAATATTAGAGTGCAAACACTGAGGTGTGGGGGGCACAGGTGGCAGAAAGCCAGAAGTAACAGGGATTAACCCCCTCCCAAACTAATTTTGCAGCGGCTGGCAATGGCAGCAGCACCATGGTGCCGCCATCCTGCTTGGCACCACTGCCATACCCCGCTGCTGCAGTGCCGCACCCAGCACCCCTGCCACATACTCCTCCACTGCCAGTGCGTGTCAGCCCCACAACAGCCCTCAGCCCCTCCAAATAATATTTTCTCCCACCGCTACCAGTGGGGGGCTCTGCATGTGAGGGCTGCATGGCTTGGGGGAGAGCACTGTGCTTGGGGGCAGGGATGGGCCTGCAGAAGTTTGTGGTTGGGACGGGAGTTCAGGAGGGAGGACTCATGTTTTGTGAGAAAAAGAAAGAAACCACAGGATGTGTCACCATCCCCAGAACAAGAGCAGGGACCCATCCCCACTGTACCAGTCCTAGATGCCCTGTCCACAGCAGCCCACAGGGCATCCCAGCACATCCTGGTGCTATGGCACACCTACAGCCCACAAAGTGTCCTGCACACTGTGCTCCTCCTTCCCACGCAGTGTCTGGTCCCCGTCTGACCCCCATTTATTAACCCTCCCCTTGGCAGCAGGTACCAGTAGGCAGGGTCTCTGGGCAGGCACAGGACAGGCTCTGGGCTCGCTAACTCTCCTGATGGTAACAGGAGCTGGCAGGAGAGCTGGCTGGGAAGTGAGGAGTCTGGGAAGCCTCAGACCATCCCAAGGAGGGCAGGGCTGGGAGACGCAGTGGCCATGACACTGGGAACAGGCTCCAGGGAAAAGCATGGAGAGAAAGCCAGGAGCAACCAGCATCATGCTTGGACATGAAGGGTACCCTGGCACTACACAGCTACTGGCTAAAACACCCAAGAGCAACAGTGTGCCAAGGAGTGTCTCTGCCAGCTCAGTACATGCTGCTCCATACCTCAGGAGTGACCCGTCACACAGCACACACATCCCCACTGCACTCCAGAATCCCAGTGGGACCTTCCCTGAGTCCACCTCTTCCAAATCTCTCCCATTCAGGGAGGAAATCGTGTTGCTCGCTGGGACCCAGTGGTTGTGTACACAAGGAGCTGAACACGCCCCATGCGGAGCCCTCGTCAGCACGTTCTATATTTACCCCTGACGCAGTGCACATGTCAGGCCCACACAAGGTCGCCCACACAACTGCAGATCGCCCACTTGCCATCAATCAGCCCCCTCAGAGCCATACCAGCTTCCTAGCGGGGGCCCTGCTGGGCCCCATGGGGCCCAGTGAGCAAGGCATGGCCCAGAGCCTGGGCCATGAGAAAGAGCATCCTCCAGCTCTGTGCTGATTGCCCCAGGCCCAAGGGACAACAGTGACATCTGACTCAAGCTAAGAGGTGTAAGCAGCTAAGCTAGGGGGCTGACACTCGCAGGAGCTGGAGGCATCGGCTCTGCCCTACTCTTCCTGCCTGCCAGCTGCCACCAGAGTGGGCCTGGGAAGGCAGCTTGCTCCTGCTGGGTGATGGATTGGGAAGGCTCTGCCCAGGGGCTGGGTGTTCCTGGCAGGTGCTGTGTCTCCTGCAGAGACTAGGCCAGGCTGCCTGTTTCTGGTGCACAGAGCCAGCTGCAAGCTCCCTGGGGCAACAGCATGGTTGGGCTGTGGGAGCCAGGCCACATTAGACTTGTGCTAGCTACCTCTTTGGCAAGGAAGCAAGGGCTGGAATGGACCGGGGGACCATCCCCTCTGCACCTGGATTCTTCCTGGGGCAAGATGAGGCAAATGGTAGGGAGATGCTGGCTGGGGATGCCCTCCTTGTTGATCCCGCACTTTCCCCAGCAGTAAATCCTAGATGTACCTGCTGTGTGCCCTAGGGGACACTGCAGCACAGCTGGGGGGTGCACTCTTTGGATTCTACCTGAACTAAACCATAGCCAGAAACCCCTAGGTAGGGCAAAGAGACAGAGGCAGGAAGAAGAGAGGAAATAGGCATGGGGCAGGGGGAGAAGGCAGTAGCCTAAACTAGGGTTGGGGGCAGGAAGGAGCAGCCTGACCCCAGCCCTTCCTGGGCAGAGCAAACTGGGGAGCATGGGCACTGGCCTGGCTGGGAGCCCTGCCCTAGCCTGGCTGACCCATACCACCCAGGCTGCTTATAGCATTCCAGGGATGTGGCTCTCCCAGGGATATTGATAGCCAGGCTGCCGCAGACTCCAGCTTAGGCCTGCTATCTATAGCCATGGGCACTTGTGGGAGGGGCTGCAGCACTGCTTCCATGGGCACTTGGCTCACTGGTGTGTCACTGTACATGCAGAGCACTGCAGAGCTGGGGCTGAAGGGCACCTGCAGGCTGGAGACATGGCAGGGATAGCAGGGGGATGCAGGTCAGGATGGAGTGGCACTGGCAAGACTGGGAATAGCATAGACCCCAGGATGGAGACAGCCAGGGGTTATGAATTGGAACTGCGGGGCACTGGCAAGGCTGAGCCTGAGGGGGACCCCAGAGCTAGGATAGAAGGTGGCTTTGGGGAGGCATGGCAGGGCCAGGGGCAAGAGAAAGCCCAGAACTGGGTTAGCAGTGTCTGTGGCTCAGGCATGAAGGGCACCAGCAGAGTGGTGTCAGGGAAGCCAGGCTAGGGTCAATACACAGGGCCCCTGGCAGAGCTCAGAGGTGGGGGCAGGGCAGTCTGACAGCAGCACCTGCCTGTGTGGGTTCAACCATGTGTCTTTTATGTCATCATATGCAGTTGCCACTTCTCCCGTCAGCCCCAGTCTGTTATTGCTGATGCTAATTATATTCTGGCGTTTGGCAGCTAATGACTCCTCTCCGCTTCCTCATCAGCCTTCTTTGTGCTACTCCAAACTTCTCCCCCTCCCCACACAGGGCCCATTACTGCCCACCTGCCAGTGCCCGGCTCTGCTGGGAGACAAAGCTCATGGGGAGGCTGCTCCTGGCAGAGGCATCCTGCAACTGCAGGTCACATCCTCTCTCACACCCCTGGTGCCCCAAGGGATTTCGGTTTCACACGATCTATTTCTGGGAGCTGCACACTCGCTCCATGGATTGGGTGTCTCAGTGGAAAGTGGCCCAGGCTCTCTGGCAGCTGACATCTGGGAGATAGGACAGGCTCCTGCTGTGCCCCTGCTTCCTCCCCCCAGCCCAGGTACATGTGAAAACCACAGTGGGCTGGGCATAGGGCCCACAGAGTGTGAGCCACTCAGAGGGGCCCCAGCATGGCAGCAGGAAATGGTTCTCCCAGAGCCAGCTGGGGCCAAAGGACCACCTCCACCACATCCATCCGCCACTAGCTCTGCGCACTGGGCTGCCCCAGCAGCAGGCTCAGGAGACAGAAATGCCCCCATCATCACATAGCCACTGCCCCTCACAGTGGACTAACCAGAGCCAAACCACAGTCACATGCCCTCTAGGGCAGCCAAAGAGATGCCCCACACTTCCTCCCTGGGCATGTGCATCCCCCTCCATCCCCCCTTGCTCATACATGACTACCTGTGGAACCCAGCTGCTACAGCACCCCATGGTGTTTTTGCTAGAACCCACATGCAGGCATGCCACAGAGTAGCGATGACTCTTGTGCTCCACACAGCAAAGCAACAGGCCATAGCCTCAGGGAGACTGCATCCCTTCCAGGCAAGGTCAAAGCAGCGGCTCCATTTGGCAGGCACCATCACTTCTGCCCGTGCTGCACTACCAAGGGAAGGCCAAGATGATCTGGTGCTGGGGTCGGGTGGGTCATAGGGCCTTTCCCCTGGGGTGGAGAGAGGAGGCAGGCTCCAGCCTAAACTTGCCAGTGAGTGTCACTCCATAGCAGCACAAAGGCCAGCCCCTCTGACTCTTGGGGAGGTGTCAATCCCCAGACACCTTTCCCCCATTCCCAGACACCAGAGACCTGCTAAGGTACTGCAGGGCCAATGTGCCCATCTCCCTTGGTGCAAAAGGGTTGGCATACTCTCCCTATGCTCCTCCTGGGCCTCTGCCATGTTGCCCCTGCCTGGACACACCTGCTTGCTGGGCTTGAATGAGCTTGCTGTATACTGCATCAGCGGATTCAATCAGGGTCCGGCTGGTCTGGATCATCTGGAGGGAGGAGAAATGGCAGTGAGGAGGCTGGGCTGCAGACTGTTTAGCCCCCTCTCCTCCCCCATCCCTACCTTGGCTCCAGGAGCTGGCACCTGCAGGAGAAACTTGGTGCCAATATTCAGAAGCCCTGCTGGCCCTCCTGTACACATGCTGCAGGTGTGCGCACGTGCACACACACACACACACACATGCACACACACACCGTGCAGCCCGGCCTCCCCTCAGCGCTGGCCCTTCAGCCCAGCACGTCCCCTTTGCACCCAGGGGAAGGGACCGCTCCTGGCAGAGGTGGGAGGAATTCTACCCCCTGCCAGGATGGTCAGTGAACCATATCCCCTGCCAGGCCCAGCTCCGCTGGTCCCAACAATGGCTCAGACCAGGTGCTGCACAGCTCGCGTCTGGCCGGACGCCAGGCCTCCTCAGAACACAAAGGAAGGAAGCGGCTCCGGCTTCTGCTATTAATGGGATTTCTCCTGCCAGGCGGGATCACGTCTCCGCAGGACGCCTGGTGACCCAGCAAGTAACCCCAAGGAGCACGAGTGGGGGAGGGCTGTGGCGCCAGCACAGACACTGCTACTATGGAACAATGTCTTGGGGTGGGGGAGAAGGGGGTGCCTCCAAGCCATGGTAATGTTAGGCACTTCCCACCCCCTGGCAGACTTAGAAGGGAGGCTCCAGCGACAGACCCCCCCAACCCTATGCCGAGGCAGGGGTCATGTGTGCACAGGAAAGGGGTGTTCATGCTGCAGCCCCAGCACTGGGGATCCCAAACTCCAGGGCTGTGCTGATGTAAGGGATCCTGAGGGGGCTGCAGGTGGGACCAGGGCTGCTTCTTGGAGCTGCTGGGTCACAGCTCCAGAGTGAGTCATTTGGGAAGCCATGCAGTGCAGCACGTGGCAAAATCAATCACGGTCCTTTCCCTGCCCTGCTGGGTCTCCGCTGTCTCTCCTGGGAGGAGGCCAGGGCAGGGGGTGGTGCTGGCTTGTTCCCTGCAAACTAGCCTAGGCACTGGAGGAAAAGGGACAGTAAAGGGAGCACCCATTACCCAACCAAAGGGCTGGGACCCTCCTACTGCTGCTGGGGGTCAGGCATGGCTGGACCAAGTGCCCTCCAGTTCAGCCCAAAGCAGACAGCCCCAGCTGCAGCCAGCTCAGCATGGCCCCTGCCTGGCCCAATACCACAACTGTGGGGGGAAGAAGGGATGGGAGGCCTGGCTGCAGGGGAAGGTGCTTACAGTCTCGTAGGCGGTGAGCACTTTGCGTAGCAGCTCGGGGATTGGTCCCTGGGCCTCCATGGCTGGGTACTGCTCATCCAGGTTGAGCGTGACGGTGGGGGTGCCCTCGCTGTGCAGAAGCCACGTGGCCACTGTCAAGATGCACTGCTTCATGTTGGCCGCTGGTGTAAGCCCACACAGCTCCTTGAAGGACACCAGCGCATTCTGTAGGCAGGAGAAGGGCAGTGGGACTGGCAGCAGGTGCCTTACTACCAAGGGAGAGGAGGGCGGACAGCTCCTGCCCAGTGTCCCCAGCTGGGACCCTGGGCAGCCATCTGCTTGTGGATGGAGTGAGCTGTGTCCCCTGCCGCAGAGCACTGAGTCAGAGCCACCCTGTACTGATTCCCGCCTCCTCAGCCTCCTTTCCTCCCCTCCCCTGTCCCTCCCTTGAGCATCGTTCAGAAACCCCAGGCCTGCCCAACAGCCTCAGACTTCTATACCAGTTCCCATGCCCTCCGTAGACAGGAGGCACTGGGAGATGCGCAACCATGCCAGCCCTTCTCTCCCTCCTCCAAGTTGCTCACTTTCCCTATGGCTCCCATCATGGGACCTCCCCACCATGAGACCTCCCCTGGTCTCTCTCTGTTGGGCAGCTTCTCCCCACCCCCAGGGTTGCTCTGCCAGACCCAATGCACTGGGTGCTCCTGAAGGGCAAGTGTGCAGGGGGCCACAGGGCTGGGCATCACTCTTGTGCCCACTGTCTCCACTCCTGATCAGAGCACCAGCCAGCTCCTTCTTTGCCCAGCTGCACCCCTGCCCCAACTCCCTTTCTTGCTCTGGGAGAGGGAGGTATCCAGGAGCTGACTTTGCTAGGGGCACAGACAGCAAACAGTGAAGAGGGAGGGGGACACAGTCCTTGCCCCTAGCCTGTCTCTTACACTGTACCACTGTCTGCCCAGTAGTTCACTCCAGTGCTCAGTGGTTGTGAATACCCAACCAGTGGAAGGCCAGAGGGCAGCCATTCTACAAGGCACAAGGCAACAGGGAATGGGGCCTAAAGAGAGACATGCCAGCAGAGACAGCACAAATCTCAGCCCTGGGCCCTGGAGGCAAAGTGGATGACAGCGCCAAGGTCCCAATGCAGCAATGGCTTGAGCATGTTCCCAAGGACAGAGACTGACTCCAGGCCCAGAGCCAGTGCTAGGAGCCAGCTGTGGGGTGGGGACGCTGCACTGGAACTGCTCCAGATGTGGAGTGCTCAAGCCCAGGAGCTGCTGGCACCATATCCTCTGCCCTGGGCCTGCCCTTAATCCCACTCTGTTCTGCTTGAATATTGAACTGCAGAGCAGGACAAGCAGGGGCATGAGGGCCTTGCCTGTTGGGTAGCTGGACCCAGAGCCCCCGGCCGGCACTGGGGCCACTTGGGATAGAAAAAAAGGCAACACTGTCCTGTTGCTACATTGCTAGCTGAAAAATTCAGTCATGAGGCAGCTCAGGGGTGCATGCACCCCACAGGAGGCAGCTGTGGAAGGGGCTGCTAAGGTGCCACTCAAAGCTCAGCTTTGTCCTGGTGACTCCTTTGCTCAATCCCCATGTTACAGGGGGGAAACTGAGGCAGTGGTCCAGTGGCCCACCCAAGGCTGTACAACAACTCAATGGGAGAGGCAAGATGAGAAGAGAGAGAAGTGTCCAGCCTCTAGCCCTCATGCACCAACCCATCAGACCCCACGTCCCTCCCTGAGCTGGGGGTAGAGCCCAGGAATCTTGAATCCCATCCCCCCCCCCACCCCACCCATACTAACCACCAGCCCCAGCCCCTCTGCAGGGCCAGTTTGGTACCTGCACATTTTCCCGGAGGTCAGTGGCTTCTCGCAGGGGCTGGGTGGCTGTGCGGAAGACCTCGTCAATGGCTTTGATGCCAGTGGCCTTGGTGGAGGTGTACTCCCGTACCCGACGGCCCTTACGCACCGAGAGCCCCCGCTTGTGCCCCCTGCCCCCACCCCGGCGGTCAGTGATGGCCACGTGCACAAAGAGGGTGGCATTGGGGAGGGACTCGCCAGTCAGTGCCTGCAGGGGCACATGGCGGTACCCAGTCTGCAGGCACTCAAAGGGGATGGTGTACTGGGCAATGAACTCATCCCCAATGTAGTCATCATCCAGCACCACGAAGCGCAGCACAGCCAGCTCAGGCAGGTTGATCTGGAACTCCAGGCTCTCGTCAAAGACGGGATTGTCCCCGCTCTGCAAAGCTGTCTTGGTGCGATGCTCAGCGCAGTCAGCCGGGATGCCATGGATCTCCGCACACACATAGGGCTCCACTACCTCACCCTTGGCGCCTGAGCCCTTGGGCTTGGGCAGATTCTGCCCGCTGATGATCTTGAGGTGCAGGAGCTGGGCAGGGACACCGGGCAGCGAGTCCTTGGTATTGGCGCTGAAGTAGGACACCTCCTCCCGCATAATGGAGGGGCGCAGGACATAGCCACAGCCCCCGTTTTGGCGGAACCAGGCAGCGTTGAGGTCCATCATCAGTCCTGGTGTCTGGTAGTTCATGGCCACCATCTGGCAGCCACACTTCCAAAAGTCCTGGGGGTTCATGTTGCTGGCATCGATGCGTATGGCGCTGGGATAGACCCGTGACAGGAACCGCTTATTGTAACCCACCAGCTCCTCAGGGCACTCATTGGCGAAGCGCCCGGCCTCAACCTCACTGAAGGAGCAGACCTCCCAGTAGCGCTGCCTCCGCCGTGAGGCCTCAAAATCCCGGAAAGTCACAGACTGGCACAAGCTGACCAACTCGGACAGCTCCTGGCTCAGCCGCAGCCGGCGAAGCCCACCCCCCTCAGGCTGCTCTTTGTCATCCTCTCCCAGGCGACGTGATAGCTCCAGGCTCTCGTCCTCATCCGTCACATCCCCCTCGCTGTCATGGCAGTTGGGCGGCAGCTTCTTGCCCTTGATGAGGATCTTACTCTTGAGTCTCTCTGGGGATGGCAGATAAGCCTCCTCAGGGTCTGGGGGGTCCAGATAGAGCTTCCCCCCTAGGCTCTTCTTCATGTACTGGGCCATCAGCCTCTGCTGGGGGGGTGAGCAGCGCACAGCCAGGCAGAGGATGAGGGGGTAGTCCGAGGCCTCGAAGGCATACTGGTCAATAACGCCCACCACGGTGCGGAAGGGCACACGGGAGGTAGTCGAGCGACCAGCATAGACCACAGGCTCACCATCCGGGCCATCCCACACCACCAGCTCAAGGCTGCGGCAGCCTGTGCGCAGGGCACTGACATAGCCACTGATGTCCGAGCTGCCCCAGAAGTTGTCCTCCAGGAGGCAGGCACTGTGGGCTGAGCTGATGTAGTAGTGCGAGAGGGGTTGTGCCATGTCCTGGCATACCTTACGGTGCTGTGGGTCAAAGATGGAGCAGTCAGAGGAGAGAAGGTAGCGGGTGAAGCCATCGATGGCCATGTAGCCCTTCTCCCGGCCTTCTTTGGAGGGCTCATATTTGCCAATTATCTCCAGACACATCTCCTCTGTCACGCCCTCCATGCCCTGCTCTACCTCCAGAAATATCATCAGGTCCTTCAGGCCCAGGTACTCCTTGTTGCTGGAGAACTGGACCATGAGGAAGAAGATCTCAGGCCTGGTGCACAGTTCACAGTAGGCCTCCACAAAGAGGTCACATGCCACCTCCTCCCCTGGCCGCTCACTGGCCTTTTGCAGCTCCTTGAACTTCAGCTCGATGGTGGAGGCTTTCATGCCTGGGTTCAAGGCCTTGATGAGCTGCACGGCCCGGGAGACAGGGATGCGGCCTGCCTTCTCTAGGTCAGCAAGGTCGAAGACAGAGGAGATCCAGGAGGTCCGGAGGCTGGGATGGCCAGCCTCGGGAGCCTCCAGTGTGTGCTTCCCATAGGACACCAAGTACCTCAGCCCCATCACCCAGGCATTCACTACATCAGCTGAGGTGGCCACCAGGTCCAGGGACTCATAATTGTCCCCATAGAGGATGGAGAAAGCACACTCATCAGGGAACTGGTCGGAGAGTCCATTGCTTCGCAAGACAGGAGTCTTCTTCCCCACCCGCACCTCCTTGACCAACTTGATTTCAATCTTGGCCTTCTCCGAGTCTTTCTTGGAAGGCTCCCAGCGCAAGAAACGCATGTCAGGGTCCAGCACAAAGAAGCGGCTGTACATGCGGGAGTTGGAGCGTACTTTTTTCATCTCACAGCCCTCCAGCATGAAGGAGATGCAGGCTGCTGTACTGTTGATCTTCCGGTCATTGGGCATGGTGCTGAAGGACACAGTCTTCTTTTTCTGCACCGGCCGCTGGCGAGAGCCATCCTGCAGAGGGGAGGGGAACAGGGCAGTCAGGGGTAGCTCAGAGACCCATTTAGCACAGGGGTTGGTAACATTTTTGGGCAGAGTGCCAAAAACACCCTAAATTTAACATGTAAGATGTTGGCATGCCAGGGGTGGATGGTGGGGGACCCAATCCTTGTTGTGGCAGCACAGCCCTACCTCCTTCCCTATCGCCTGCCCCAAGGCATGCATGCCAAGCAAAATGCATCCATGTGCTATGCTCTGGCACACATGCTGGGGGCTGCTGACCCCTGATTTAGCAGGTGGGGCTGTGCAGGGCAGAATGGAGCTGAGGTGGGTGAACCCAGGGTTAAGGGGGTACATCTCTAGGAGCCAAAGGAAATGAGGGATGAACACTAGCCCAAGACATAGGAGACAAGGATTCAGTTCCCCACACTACCATCAGCTTGCAGTGTGTAGCTCATTTCTCTCTCTGACTCAGCTTCCCTATACAACATGCAAAGTCATGCTGCCCCACTGCCCAGGGCCATTCAGAGGTGTTAGCTGGGTGGCATCCTTCACTCCAAGCACCTCCCATCTCCAGCACAGCTCTCCCAGCTTTGTGGAGGGCAAGGCTCCTTGCAGGCACCAGGCTCTCGGCATCTCCCCAATTTACTACCACAGTTGGCTATGTGCTGGGGGGAAAGCTGTGGCAGAACAATGGATCCATCTCCCGCCAGGACGGGTCATGGCTCCTTGAGGCAGGAAGGGTTCCATATACTCACGCCCTGTGTGGGGAAAGTTCCAGTACCATTTCCTCTTTGCAGATGGGGAAACTGAGGCACAGAGCGAGGGACAGCGAGAAGGGTGAGGAGCAGAGACAGGAATAGAACCCAGGGGCCCAGCTCCCTCTAGTCTATAATCATTACACACCTCTCCCCCACCCAAGGTGGTAAAGCAACCCAGAAGTCCTGAGTCCCAGCCACTCTGCCATAGTTCCTCTGAGCCCAGGGATCCAGAGAGCTCGCCTGCCTTACCATTTCATTGGTGCTTTTCCCACAGGGTCATCTCTGCCCCTGGCCTTTGCCTGGACATGGAAGAGCCTGTGCAGTGAACAGGGGCAGGAACCCCAACAGACCCAGGAGCTGGGAGGAACAACCCTAGGGGCCCTGCTGGCTGAGGGGTAAGGCAGCCAGCTGGGCAGCACAGGACCACCAAGACTGGCCTAAAAGGCTCCTCTACTGCCCAGCACTACCTAGGCAGGCTAGCCCTGCCCCTACCTGACTCCTGAGCACTAAGCACGATGGCATGAAGTGAATTTTCATCCCAACAGAGGGGATGAAGCTCCCTGCCCTGCTTTGCCAGGTCAACTATGCAAAGCCCATATCCGTGCCACCCATACCCACCGTGCCCCTGCCTCTCCCATCATCCCCCTGAAGCCCTTTTCCCCAAAATCTCACCCACTCACCCAGTGGAGTGGATCCCAGTGGGCAGGAGAGAAAAGGCCTGGCTGGGCCCCCTTCCCAGACTTTATGACTCAGCCCCTTATGAGGGGCAAAGCCTGGGGAAGTGGGGGAGTGCCACGCTGTACCTTGAGTACTTTTCCTGTTCTGCAGTGGCACCCCTAGGTGGGTCAGGCCAGCCCTGATCCCAGCACTATCTCCTGCTCCACACAGGACTCCCACACCCAGGAGCTCCAGAGTGGGCAAGCCCAGGACACATCAGACAGGGCTCTGGGTAGTAGCTTGCCAGCAGCCACCCAGGGTGTGAGGCTTCCTTCTCCTTCCGCCCTGCAAGGTGTGGGGTCCCGATAAGCAAGACAGGCACAGCTCCTCTGCCACAGTCCAGCCCCAGGGGCTAAGCTAAACATAGGCACATCCTCCCACTATGCAGGGACCCACTCTCTTAGGGCTTCTTCCCACTGGCACACACTTACTACCAGGAACACCACTGGGGCAGAAGCTGCCTTTCCAGGCAGTGCAGCCTCATGGCAGCCCAGGGATCCTGCAGGTAGGGGAAACTAGCCCCCTGCCCAAGCACTGCAGCCAGTTTAGCACCAGAGCAGGCACCTTGCTGCATCTCCTGGGGGACAGGCATCCCCATTGCCCACCCCCACCCAGCCTATCTTCTCTATGGAGCTCCAGCTAGGCCCCCCATCTTCTGGCTCTGCTGATAGCCATCAGTCCTGGCCTGCAGCCCCCAGCTATCCAGCCTGGGGAACCTCTCCACCCCAGCTCCAATAGCACCCTGCACTCCCAGCCCCATTCCAGCCAGTCCTCAGACAGGAATGTCCTTCAGCTGACTCCAGCACCGAGACTTGAGGTGGGGGGATTTGAGGTGGGGGGGCGGGCAAAGGCATTTTCGACCCCAAAGGGAGTGAACAACTTGAGATTGATCGATTGGCAGTCCACGCCAGGCGGTAGGGGGTGGGGGGAGTGGAGGGGAAGGCTGGTTCCAGCTCCCCTCCCCCACACAGCTCTGTCTCAAGGTTATTCCCTTGGCTGAGGCCTTGGAGGAGACAAAACAGCAGCACAGCCCTGAAGTTCCCCTCATCTCAGCTGGGGGAGCCCCTCCATCTGCCCATCCCAGCACTGGGTACTCAGGCGACTCTCCAGTCCCCCTCACACACTAAATCCACCCCCCAGAGCAGGAAGCATCCTCCAGCTGCCCAGCTCCATGCTTCAGTCCACGGGAGCCAGTGGGAGGCTGGTGTGATTGCTTTACCCCAGTATGGGGCACCAGTCCCAAGGAGGAGCAGTGGGAGGCTCTCTGGAGAGAGCTGCCGTGACTAACATTGGGACTGTGCCCCTGAGAGGGGATGGGAGCACGTTCCCCACAAAGAGGCGTTGCACACACTGCCCTGTGCCTTGTCCTCAGGCATGAGAGCAAGACATAGGGGCTATTGCTGGTCACTGATCCCACACCTTGGAGCCCAGCCAGGTATGCCAACAGGACAGAGGGCAAGGAGCAAGACTGGGCCCTGGGGAGCTCTGGGTACCAGCCTGCCATGGGCAGGGAGGGGAGTTCAGCTACACAATTGAAGAGGAATGGCCAGACCCAGCAGCAAAGAAGCCCACAGGTACCTGTGCCCCACAGAGACCAACCAGCAGATGCAGTTCTGGCTGGATGTCACACAGGGGTTTAATAGAAACTCTGTCCCAGCCAGCACTGGCATGAGAGGCCCGCAAGTTGCCATTTCCTCGCTAGGCCAAAAGCTTCCATATCTTCTCCCCACAGAGCCCTGGACCCAGCAGGAAGTGGCCTTACTGCATGCCAATACGTAACAGCAGCAGCATGGCTGCTGCGGGGGAATAGGGAGGGCTACATGGGCAGCCACAGTGCCCCACACCTCTGCCACACACAGACCCCGCTCCAGATAATGGGGCGGCACTGAGCAGGCACCCAGATAATGATATATAGAGCACAGCCCCTACGTACACCAGGGGATGAGGAGATACTCTCGGCAGCCACTTTCCGGGGGCAGACTGGAGCCTGAGAGGATAGCCAGGGAGCGGGATGCAGACCACAGTACAGCCAAGTCACAAGGCAGGGTGCCCATTGCTGGCACCTAGAGGCAGAGCAGAGGGAGCTGGCTGGGGTACCCACCACAACATGCCATAGGCAAGGAAGAAACTGCATGGATGGCAGCACTGGAGGGATGGTAGATCCTGGGGGAGAGACCAGTGGGGCCAGCCAGTCCCTACTGCATCACTTGGTTCTGGAGAGAGGGGCTGCCCGGGCCCTGGACACAAACACATTCTCAGGCAGATGGCAGACTCCAACTTGTCTCAAGCTGCCAGGACCAGAGCTGAGCAAATGCAGCTGGGAGAGGTGAGGGACAGGGGATGGGAGGTGTTCCCAGAGAAGACGCGCACAGGCTTGGAAATTTTCAGCAAAAATCAAGGGGTGTTTTTGGAACAGCTCTGGGATTAAACTTACTGGAAGACATCCAGGCACCCCTGGGCACACAGATACCATGAAGCCTCAGCAAACCCCCAGCATCAACCCCACCAGTACCACGGACTGGCAGTGCTGGGGGAAAAACAGTGACTTGAAGGCCAGACAGTAGAGGGGGGAGGCTGCAGGCAAGGAGGAGGGGGATCCAGCCCATCCACTAGAGAGGTCTGAGGCCAGTTCAGCATCAGTGGCCGGGGAGAGCCCTGGACTGTAGGCTGTAGGTAAGTGCCTGTGAGGTGAGGCCTGGCGATGGGGCCAGGACAAGGCCACACAGATCAGAAGTTCTTCAAAGGGAAGCCTCTGAGAGCTGTCTGAAGGAGATGAGGATGGTCAGGGAGCAAAAATGATCTGGCATAGCTAACCACAGGAAGAGGCTGAATTCTCACTGAGGAGGACTTCTGAGACCAACATCAAGGCCCATAGTTCAGGCATCTGCTGCCACATTAACAATGCAGGAGGAAGCCAGGCAAAAGCCAGGGACACCACAGCCTAGGCTCCAATTTGCTGGGAGGTACCAGCCACTAGTGTGACACTGCCTCAGGCAACCCTGCGCTATCCATCATGAGATGGGCAGGGGGCAATACCAGCCTCAAGGGCAGCTCCCAGCTCCAAGGGCAAGTGGATGGATTTAGCATGAGCTAACAAGGCTTGATTGGAGTCTGGAGAGGATGGGGGAAAACGGGAGCGTGATGGAATCCCTGGTGCCCCTCGCTCCTGCCCCATAGCCCCCTGATAGCCTAGACCAGGGCTCCCTCCAACTCTGCTGCTGCCCCTCGCTCCCACCCCACAGTCCATGCCTGCAGTGTGCTCTCAGTCTCCAGGCACGCAGGCATCGCTCTGTGCTGTTCTCTGCCCCCTCGATGGTACTGAGCTAACCACCTCCCCCCCACCCCCGCCACGCAGGCATAGGGTGCTGCCCTTTTAATCCAGATGATTTTTCCAATCAAGAGCAGCTGGACTGGATCAGCCGGGAGGGGGTGGGGGGGACCTGGGGTCACTCCTCAGGCTGAGTACATTCCCTCTGGTCCCTACAAGGCACCGCAGCCTCACCACTGCCACTGGAGGGAGCTTGAGGAGATGCAGGAGTCCAGAGACTCCCTGGTCGCATGGCAAAGAGCCCTGTCAGCCTGGAGGGGGCTCCTCCCCTGCCCCTGGGGCAGGGCAGCAAAGGGCACACTCTGATGCAAATCCCTAGCTTGGCCCCCCAGCACACCCCAGACCTCCCCAGGGTGAACACCTCAGCAAGAGAGAAGCTTCAGGCTCTGGCAGCCCTTCCCCAAGAGAACCCCCTCCCCCAGCATGGTGAGGTCCTTGGCCTGACAGCCCAGTTTATTTTAGCTCTTTTTTCCTTCCTTCCTTCCTGCCCCTGGCTGTGAGCGGGATCCTGCTGGCTGCTCAGTCACCCTTGGTGGTCAGGCCCCTCAAGGCCTGCTCCCTGCCCAAGCACAGCAAGCCCCTTCCCAACCACATCCTTCTACCACCCCCCATCCAACCCTGTTGTGGCCTGTTTAGAGCAGCTTCAGGCTCAGAGACCCCAGCACCCATGGTGCCTGCTCTGACACGGAGTCTCTGGAGCTGGGCACTGCTGGATCACCTAGGCATCACATCCCTCACCTACCCCCATCTCCATTCCAGGCACCACACTCAGCCCAAGACCTGCTGTCCCTCAGCTCCACTGGACAAACAGACACACAGACACCTAGCATCAGCCCTGTCTTTCAGCCAACCACCCTGATTACGGGCCATTTCCCTTCTTTCTCCCAACATAGAATAAACCACAGCTCCCCTCGACTGAGACCCCCCTTCTTCCCCTCAACCTAAGCCCATTGGCAGTACCACCATCACCACCGTTCAGTCATGCATGGAGGCATAGCAAGCATCCTCCAAAGCAACACCAGACCCCCAATGCCCACAGCGTGACAGGCACATACTGGGGCAGTACCACCTCGCTGGCAAGACAAAAGGAAAACTGCACAGACAGGCCCAATTCCCCTGAGCTGGGACAAGGACAACCCATGAACCCACCAGCTAAGGCACTTTGCCCCCCCTGCCTGGACCCAGTCAGAGTGCCCTAATGTACAACCCCCCACACATGCACCCCAACCCCTGCCCAGCTAGGGTGCCCTGCACCCAATGCGACGAAGCAGCAGGATGTGATGCATACTGTTTTTCTGGCTGCCAGCCACCGCGCCTGCCTGACAGATGGAGGCGGGGGCCGCGGGGAGCGTGCCAGGCAAAGGGAGGTGCATGAGAAACATGGAGGGGCTCTCCAAAGTGCAGCATGAAGGCCTGACCTTTCCATAGCAGGGAGAAGGCTGAAATGCCCCCAAAACTCCCTTCCATTGGCTATGGAGCCTTTTCTCACTCTAATCACAGCCCAGTCTGCCCCATGGAGCACTGAGGAAGGAAGCCACTCTGACTGCCTGGCACCCACCTGTCATGTTACTCCAGACAGCATGACCTGAGCAGGAACAGTTTCCTATAGCCCTCCCCACACAACATGCCATGCTATGAATGACAGAGGCAGCCTGCTCTTGGGGTCCCTTTTGCTGCTAAGAGCTGGAGAAAAAGGAAACAGCACCCCAGGCAGCAAGATGTGCCCTCTGAAGTGGGGCTCTCCTTAGAAATGTGAGATCAGGGTCCACAGATGAGGATGGAGGGACCTAACAATCGGGACCCACTTCCCATTGGGCTCCAGTGAGTGGGAAACCCTAGAGAGAAGGGAGAACCCAGCCCAGGCTACTCCCAGATCTACACCCCTTTGCCCAGTCAGGCCAAAGAGGAGGCACAGTCTGCCACAAACACCAGTGTCCAGTTCCACCTGTCTTGTGAGGGGCCAGTCCTTGAGTATCCCTCAGAGCTGCCCCCCAAGGCAAATTCCCAAGGTCAGCTATGATCACAAAGAATGATGGTTACAGCAATGCCTTCACCTACTGGCATGAGGGAGCGCAGGGAGACTCCAGGGGCTCCTCAGACCCAGCTGAGATGATGGCACCTTTAACCTGGACCATAGTAGCCATCAAGTTTCCGTACAGCCACAACAAGACACCCTCCCCCACAATCCCAGCACATGCCCTGGTGGTGTCAGCCAAGGTCCCGGCCTCCATCCAAGGCTCCAGGGAAGCAAAAATCAGGGCACACCCATGGGAAGGATGGCTCCTCTTTGGGTCTTTTCCACTGCTCTTTTCCAGAGGAAACAAGCCATGTCCCTCATGCCCAAGTCCCAACCCAGTGAAAGTGATTCACAACAGGGGAAATTAATTAGAACGAAGCGGGCTGTGCTGCGGCTTGGAGCCTTTAGCAGGGGGGCGTTGTACAGCAGGGCTGAGAGCGTGGTTATGGGATGGATTTAATTAAGCAGTGCAGCAGGGAGAAGGTTTAATCCAGCACTTTGAGATGGCAGTGAGTCACATCTAATCTCACTGCCTCCCCAGCCCCAGCACAAAGCGTCTCTGGGCTCCCTGTCAGTTGCCTGGCTGGGCACTGGGGAAGCTGGGGAGTGAGGGGGCACCTCAGGATGAGCAGTGTTGAGCTGCCGAAACATGGCTTCACAACATGTAATGTCCCTAGCCCATAGGAGATGGCCTGGGAAGCTGTTTCTATGGCCTGTAGAGTACAAAACTGGCCCTAAAGATTGGACCCAGGTCCCTGGTGTGGGAGTGGTGTAGAATTAAGATGGTGCACATTGGAGATCGCAGAGTATACAGAAGGGAGAGTGAATCCAATTGGCCAGGTAGGCAGACTCTACCCTCTACATTGCCCCCTCCACCAATGCCAGGCAGGGATGCCTGCACACAGCCCTTGCAGCTGGGGCAGAACATCACTTGGAAGGAAAAGCTATCCGGGCTGTGGATTTGAATTCAGGGGAGGGTCAGGGGCTCAAGTGGCCCTGCAAGTCCAACAACACCAGTCCCAGGCCTCTGCTCCCTCAGTAAAGCTACAGCTGTTGCCTGGCTCCCAGCAGCAAGGAGGGAGTTGCCTTCCCAATCTGCATTCTTGGGCACAAAGGAACTGGATGGATGATCTCATCCAGGAGCCTGTGGAAGCTGGAACTGTTATGATTATATTGTACAGGCCAGCAGGCTGGGCAGCCTCAGCTCTACTACCCCAGGGACAGGACAGTGGGCAGTTGGGACTGAGGATCACTGGCCAAGTTGCTGGGGCTAGGAACTGGTACAACATGGGGCTAAGGTTTGGGACCAAGGAGCATCTTTTAAAGCAGGGGCGGGCAATTATTTTGGGCAGAGGGCCACTTACTGAGTTTTGGCAAGCCATCGAGGGCCACATGACAGGTAGCTCAGGGCAGATAAATATTAATTTTCTAAATTTTTAGGGGCCCCGCGGGCTGAACAGAATGGCCTGGTGGGCCGCATCCGGCCCCTGGGTCGCATTTTGCCCACCCCTGTTTTAAGGGGACCATCACTTCAGACTATCAACTCCAGTCTGAGTCCCCGGCTCTGCCAGGAGATGGGGACACTTGTCACCCTCACAGCATGGGGAAGGGCACTGTGCTGTAAGAATGCTGGCCATGATACGTGAGCCAGCTGCAAGCCTGACAGACAGGTCATGTGGACACCAGTAACCAGTGGCAGAGACGCTGGGGGGAAGGGTGACACGCAGGAGGGAGGTCTGGCTCGACACAGTCTTGGAGGCCCCCAACAAACCCAAGCAGGACTCTTGCTCTCTGCCGGCTCACTTCCCAGCTGATGAAGATGAAGCCTGGCCTGGGGCTCACTGCATGGGTCACTTCTCCTGGCTCAGGTACAGGATCTTATTGCATCCCACGGTTTCCATTCTCCTCTTGCTGCCAGATTGCTCTAGAAAGCCGGCTCCTTGCCAGGGATGGCAGCCTCCGCACCAACAGGTCCTGGCTCCCCATTAGGTGAGGATGCTCCCCGCTTAACCATCTTCTTGGCCTTTGGCAGTCGCAACCACTTCCTCCCCCAGCCTGGGGGCTTCCCCAGGGCTGGAAGAGGAGGAAGCAGAAGATGGAGGTCAGTCCTGCAGCTGACAGAAAGCAAGAGGCTCCAGGGCTGCTGCCACAGTGCTTAGGGCTCAAAAACAGGGCCAATGCACAAGCAGTCTCTGCTGGCACCGGCTGTGAGGGAGGTTGGTGCAACATGAGCAATGACATTGCCCAAACACTGTGTGGGGCCCTGAACAGCCACCAGGAGAACCTCAGCTTTTAGTCACTGCCACCCAGCTCTGGAGCCAGCCACAGCCCCTGGCTGCCCAATCCTGGTTTTTAAGATGCTGGGACTTGCTGGCTGGCACCAGATTTCCCCACTGGATCACTTAACAGGGCAGAAGTGACCCCACTCCAGGACAAATGCTCTCTCAAGAGCTGCTCTGCTAGTTTGATTCATACCCGGTTGCCAGTTTGGCAGCAGCTTGGCAAGTGCCCAGGAGGCACAAGTCAGGCCAGTCACTGATCCCTCGGGTGGCTGAGTGTTTGCCAGGATGACAGCAGGGTGAGGGGACTCAAACTGAGGCCAGCTGCCTCTGGCAAGCCATGAGAATACAGGCCTCAGGGCTTCTTGTGTGGGTCGGGGGGGTGTTTAAAAGCTCAAACCAAGACTGACCTGGGGCTGCCAACAAAGTGCCCAGGGACTTCGAAACAAATGGCAAGTGTCCAATGGAGGGCTATATCAGCACCAGGCCACTGCAACTGCAAGGTTGCAGCTGGCGCGGTGTCTCAGCAAAGCTTGTCTGTAACCAGCCCAGCTCACACAGTGTTAGAGAAGCCCCAGAGGTAAAGATGTTGTCCTGACCAACTGAATCCCTTGGGCCCTCAGCCTCTAGTCATTAGTGCCAGGCTTGGAGGCCATGCTAGCTCCCCTAAGCTCCACAGGGCTCATCCAGGAAGCCTCTTTTTCCTAGTACAGCACTTCAGAACAAGGGTGCTAGCCTCCGTCAGCCCAGACCCCAGGGGCAGACAAGGAGTAGGGGAAAATGGGGTAATGTGAACATCTTATATGGGAGTAAGAGGGACCCAGTGGAATTTCAGGGCAAAGAGAAAATTGAGCCAAAGCTGTCACGTCTGCAGGGTGCCCAGGCACCCACCAAGGAAGGGGATGGTGGAAGGGAGCCTGTAAGGATGTGGGGGGATCTGCTGGCATCACAGGGCACCTCCTTGCCTGGCCTCCCCATTCACCTGGAGACCAGCAGCAGGAGCAGGGCTCAACTTGGCAGGGGAGATCCAGGGATAACACAATTTTCTTATGGCTGAAAGCCAACGCCTTAAAGATTGGTGCAGACCTGAAAAGTCCAGCATAGCTGAAGGGACATATCAGTGGGGACAGAGGGTGACTCCCAGGGCTGGGAGCGGTATAGGCAGGCATGACAAACCCAGTAGTCATATAACATGGCATCATTATTGTCTCTATATTTGAAGCAGGATCAGACTTCCTCCGTCATCACCAAAACACCCTCCCCAGAAAAGCCAGGGCCTGGTCATATAGAGCCAACCTGAACCTTGCATCTGTGACCCCTTGGGGCAGCCTCCATAGTCCTTGCTTCCACATGGGTGCAGATGCTGGCCGCCTGGCCTTGGGGGGAGATCTCAGTTCAATTCAAAGCTCGAGGCAGGCTTGGGCTGCATTTGGGATGAAGACCCAGGGGGTAAATGGCCTGAACCCCTCTACCTCACTCTCATCCCGGCTCTGGGCCATGGAGGGATCCTGGTACCTCTCTAAGGGGATGAATCCTACCCCCTCCCCACTGGGCATGCCCAATTCCCCAGACTGCTCAGCAGCTGGCTGCATGGCAACCCACCATGACCCCTGCCCTGCCTAGAGAACCTGGGCCCTGGGCAGCCTGTTCATAAAGAGAGCAGAGCCCAGTGCCTGGGAGGTGAAATCTAAGCACACCACTCCTCCCTTGCACAGGATGGTCCCACCCACACACCTGCCTGCAGCCAGCCCCTGTTCACCCACACTCCTGGGCTGGCCGCAGGCACGGGAGCATGCAGGCACGGGAGCATGCCCACCACAGCTGCACATGCGGGGTCACTGCCTGGCTTCCTTCTCATCCCAGAGGCACCGCCCCAGACCACACCACACCCTGGGCTGCCCTGTGCGGGGCCTGAAAGCAGAAAACAGGAAATCTATCCGGAAAGGAAATGCTGGGTGGGGAGCCTGCCTTGATCAAACGGCTGGCGTGACCTCCCATCCAGATGCAAGCTCACTGAGTGCAGGAGCTGCCCCCCACACAGCCACACAGAAACTGAATCTGTAACACCACCCCCCAACCCCATGAAAGCTGACAGTGAGATAAAAGTGAGCTTGGTCTGTTCCTGCTGGGGCAATGGTGCATGCATCTCTCCCCTTTGCCAAAGCCCCCTGGAGGGTCTGGGCACCTGCCACTGAAAATCAATAACACATTCCCAAAAGAGTGCCTCCTGCAGTGCTAGCTCTGCTCCATTTTGCAGGTGGGGCATAGGAGGCTGTGTGAGGGCGGGTTTGGGCTGTTAGATTGCTTAGCTCATTTCAGTTTTGGGGCATGGTGGTTTCCCACTGCTGCAGGAACAACCTCCCCAGTTGTAGCAACGCATGCTGGGAGGGCTTGTTCAGTCCCCGACCTGCACCCTGGGTGGCAGCTGCTGGTGCATGGCTGGCACTGTCCAGACTTGCAGGAGGAAGCAGGCCACCAAGCTCCCACTCCACCTGGCACACTCTTTGCTCCCTCTGCCAAAGGGCAATCCCCAGCCCCTGAAGCTGTGTGCGCTGCTTGAGGATGTCGAAGCACTCTGCAGACGTTGCAGGCATTTGCATCCAGGTACCGGATGGAGCTAACCGCATGCAGCCAGGCTCCTGCGATGCGAGACTGCAACCGCCAGCTGGCTTCATCAGCCCCACTCGGAGGAAGGAAGAGACAAAGCTAGTGCTTCCAGGCAGCCCATTACAGGGGCGTTTTCCAGCCTGGCCCAGGGCCCTGGGGAAGCTCTGCTAATCTAAGTGCTCTGTGAGGCGTGAGCCTGGAGTGGCTCAGACAGCCCGGGGCTCTGCTGAGCAGCAGCTCCCACTAAGGTGATAAGTAGGTTAGATCTGGAAGTGCCAGGACACCACTGGCTGTCCCAAGAGGGCATGCAGCCACCACTGCCTGTACCCCTGCCCTGTGAAGAAGAGGAGAGGGGAAGAGAGCCCTGCAGGTCTGGGACTATGGCCTCTGTGCAGGAGCACAGACAGATGTCGCCCAAGCACTGCACACTTCACACCTGCTGATGTGAGCACTGGCAGGGGAAAAAAACAGACCTGGCTCCTCATGGGGGAAGGCTGAAACTAAACTCTCCCCAGCAGTGGGACTAAGTTTGGCACAGCCACCCAACCGCACAGTTTAGTATCTCCCTGCTGTCTCTCTCAAGGGTACAAATGTCTGTGCCTACAGCAAACCTTGCCTCAAAGTTATAGTACCCCTCACACCACTCCAGGAGCCAGGCTCTCTTTTCCACAGTGCCTTGACAGCACATGTTACCTGACTCTGCAGCCAGTTCCCTTCCACAGCCTATGTGCTAGGTGGCTCCATCTTAGGGCCTACCAGAGCTCATGGATTGCCAAGTGAAACAAGTCACTCACAAGCATCAGGGAAGGTCATGTTCAGCTGGCCATCAAGCTGGGCAGCTCCCTACCTTCCCATCACACTGACACTCCAGTCTGAGGGGTGTTTTTTGCTTGTGAACGTGTGAGAGAGAAAGGAACTGAAAGCATTTGAGGCATACGCATGTCAAATGTGGTAGATCTGACACACTGCACAGAGATAACGGACAGAGGGAGGGAGGGAATAACGGGTCACTCATCATGCAGACACCTGGATCATGGCAAGAGATGACCCCACATTGTGAGGCCCATTGCCCACCCTGCCCCAAACTCCCTTCATGAGACAGGAGAGGGCATTCTGGATACTGAATTGCTCCCAAGTGAAAGGTGGGGGAACCTGACGGCAGCAACAATGGAAGAGCTCCCCTCTTGCACGATGCCTGTGGGGGTAACTCCCTAACATCAGAAGCTCCAGCTTCCCCTGCCACTCCCGATGGACAGTGAGCGGGGTGAGAAGGGAGGGGAGGGAACCCACAGCACCAAGTGCTTTGCCTATCTGTACCCTACCAGCAGCACCCCCCAGGAGTAGGCACCCCCTGCACTGCCCCCGAAAAGCCCTCTATCCCTCTCTCCCCTGCTGTGATGCTGATAGAGCGCTTGGCATCAGCTCGCCATCCCCACCAGGCTCTCTACATCCCTTGGCCCCTCTAGCCCACTGCCTCCTCTTCTCATCTTCTACATCGATCACAAGCTGTTTGGAGCCAGGAGTGGCCATTTGTTACATGCATGTGCAACCCCCTGCACCACCACAGGCCCCACCTCTGAGCCTTCCTGCAACAGACAGCAGTAACAATCCCTTCCCCCCTCATCTCAGAGATACGTCAGCTCATGGCACCAGGCGGGCTGGGGCAGGGGGCCTTGCCAGGCAGCGCAGCAGCTCATAGCTGCCAGCCTGGCCTAACTGAAGTGCCACGTTCCAAGAGGCAATGTGACTTGCAATGGGTCAGAGTGGGGGGACAGGACCCTAGTTCTCCAGCTACCAACCTAGTGCCCTGTCTATTGGGCCATATTGCCTCTGTGTCCCTCTCTGCTTAGGCCTGCAGGGCCAAAAAGAGGTAACAAGCACACAACACCCAGGAGACAGGGAGCTGGCACAGGAGCAGCCAACTCCAAGAGTACAAGAATCCTCCTCCATCCCAAAGTGAAAAAGCCATGGGAGGCACAGGCCAGGCTGAGAATCACTGCCCCAGGGGGATGGGAGTGGGCAGCCAGGCACAGCCAGGGCTTTTCTAGATCAGTTTATTCCCTGCCAAGAATATAGAAAGTGACACACATGCTCCCCAGCAGCACCAGCTGCTGCCTTGCAGCATGGGGCTGGCGACTGCAAGCCCTCCTGCAGGTGCTGCATCAGCGTCATGCCTGTGGCACTGCT